TTACTGCTGATTGGCTACAAGTTTGTTTTGCTATTCAGCCCGAATCAGTTTTCTAAAGCGTTTTTGAAAAATCGCTTACCCCACCTTTAATCATTGTATTAGAAAACACAGTCTTTTTTAACACATTATGGATATTCTATTTTACCCAAAAAATATATTATGAAAGCAAAATAGGTTGCAAATGGCAGTTTTAGTCATTTTATTATGTGCCTTTTTATTATCTTTATTAACATTTCTATTCAGCTTTAATTTATTTTTGTTTAAATTTTAGTAATTTGAGCACTTCTGCCTAAACTAACTTTTAGATCTAAGCGTACGTTTCATTTAATATTTTTTATCTTTTTAGATAACTTTATATCAGTTATCTTTTTAGTTTTAGTTAACAATAACAACACTGATGGCATTTCACATTAGCTTTACATTTTAGCTTTTAAATCAGAAGTCCAGCATAAATCTCCAGACATTTATTTTAATTTTCCAGAATCTCCAGATTTGCTTAATTTATACTTTTTATTAAACATTTCAATGTAAAAAAAAACTAAAACAAAATACATGCATGGATGAATACAGTAAGATCAATAAGATGTATTTACAAAATAGATTGAGTGGATTTTCATTATGCTGACTTTGTAAAAGTCTTCATTATGCCTTTTAACATGCATATGTTTGTGTTTCAGAACTGGGCCGGTATGAAGTGTCCATACAAATTGCTACGGATGATTCTTGCACTTGTTTGCAGTAAGTAACTAGTTATTGCCGTTCTCATACTTTAGTAAATAGGCTGTGGCTGAATTCACAATAGCATACTAGCACGCTACTGTGTACTATTGTGTTTTTTCATTTGCTATATTCAGAATGCAAGACTAGAATATAGTAGACTGAGTATATACTAGATACTGCATACTTTAAAAAAAAATAGTATTATATGTGCAATATGCAATGATTTCAAACAACTGTATGCTACAATATTACTCAACCTCATCAATTTTTTATTCAATGTGTTTGTCTCCATTTATCTGAAAAATAAACATGGTTGTTTTGCATTTTTAAACTGATCTAATTAAATGTTAGAAATGTTAATATTTTTTCAATTAAATAAAGAAATCTAATTACATTTTTAATAAAAAACAATTGCCGATATTTAAAAAATGGAACACATTGCATCTTTCGCAATGGACTTTTTATCTAGTATTCCATGCATACAAAAAATGACATATTCCAGAAGTAGTATAAGTAGTAGAGTAGTATGCTATTCCAAACATCTGCCAATCTCTTTCTCCGTCTTTGGCAGTGAGTTCAGAGGTGGGCCGTGCCGTATGGCTGCGTTTCTCCCCGCCCCTCCCCTCCTCCGGACCGCAGCCCAGTTTCATGGCTCATCTGTCGGGCGCAGTGGTGGGCATCAGCATGGGGCTGCTGATCTTGCGGAGCTATGAGGAATCTCTGCATAAACAGTGCTCCTGGTGGGTCCTCATCTTCTCCTTCATCACCTTCCTCCTCTTCGCCATCTTCTGGAACATTTTCGCTTACGAGCTGCTCGGGGTACAGATCCCGCCCCCTCCCTGATGACACGCCCCCCTCTGGTGGCCCCAAAAAGCCACGCCCCCCTGTCCGACACAGGTCCGACCTCAATCTACTCCACTCGACCAGCAGCGGAGACACGGACTTAAAAACCGGAAGGAAGGATTTCAGTGGTGTGAAATGATAACGCATACTCATATTCCATACAGAAGCAGCGAACACAAACGGCGTGGTATTTTTAATGAACACTCGGAGGTAGCATAAGGGTCCGGCGAGTTTATTTGAACAGACCGTCAGTACGTCATACACTCGAAACATGCACACACACACACACACACACGTACATCAGATTTGTTGTGTATTTCAGCCCGAGGCTCGTTCATGATGCCTTTCTGTATTGTTTTGATTTGACTGCCTCATCTAAGCCTGTTATGCATTACAGATACCATCCGTAGTAGATGAAACGCCAGGAATCTCGCTGACTAAAAACAAAGCCTTACACTTGAAGACACGGCAAAGTCCTCAGTGAGGTAGGGGGTTGATGTTGATGTCATCTGATGCTGTTCGTTTTTTGGATAATTATGGATTGGATTCGGTGAAACCAGGTAAAACTTGTTTCAAAGGGCAAAAAGTATGTTTCTGAAGCTGTTTCATGCTTTACTTTGTTCCTCAGCAGTATACAGAAACATTAATTCTGTTCCAAATCATAGTGGGCTTTCTATGTGGGCAGCATGTAATAGGTGCTGCCTTTTTGCCAAATATGAACACAGAATTTTCAAAAAAGCAATTCCAGAATGTATTGCAACAAGCTCCGAAAAAATATATATTTTTTTTTATAAATATGCACTACCATTCAAAAGTACGCTTTTTAAAAAATATTTTTGAAAGACGTCTCTTATACTCATCAAGGCTGCATTTAAAATACAAGTAAAAATACAGTAAAAATGTGAAATATTATTACAATTTAAAAAAAAAACTTTTCTATTTGAATATATTTTAAAATATAATTTATTTCTGTGATCAAATCTGAATTTTCAGCATCATTACTCCAGGCTTCAGTGTCACATGATCCTTCAGAAATCATTCTAATATGCTGATTTGCTGCTCAAGAAACATTTCTGATTATTATCAATGATGAAAATTTGGTAAATTTGTGGAAACCATGAGATTTTTTTTTTTTTTAGATTTTTTGATAAATAGAAAGTAAAAAACTGCATTTATTCAACTTTTTACAAATTTTTACTGTCATTTTTCATCAGTCGAATGCATCCTTGCTGAATAAAACAAATTTTTGATCCCTTTTGATCTACTTAAAAATGGAGTACCTAATATTTTTATGCTTATTAGAGTATTGTTTTGCAAGTACTCTATTGAATGAATTACGTTTTTGTAGCGCATTTCAAATCAGGTTCCATTTCCATTATGATGCGGCTTTAGAAGGGAGCTCACTTGGTTTGGAACAGACTGAATATCTGACCCTTCATCTTGACCTTTGAAAAATGTTCCAGTGAACACACAAACACAAGCCAGTGAGAGAGTCAGGAGTTTACAAGCCACACACTAATCATTACTTCAGTATTGCAGTTGTTATGGTAACTGCCGTAACGTGATTAAAGATGCTTTTGACATAGAAACCAGTGTCACGACCACCAATACCGAATGTGTTGCAACTCCAGTCATGGTAAAATTTCATCTGCCTACATTTTCAGTGAAGGTTGTCTTAATATAATAATGATTATGACTGGGTTTGAAAAATACAACTCAAAATCCTTGAGAAAAAACGAGCATTTTATGACCCCTAAATATGACAAAATTCAGTAGTGCCAAGTTATCATTTGCTAAGCTGCTAAAAGATAATTAAAGGGAATTAATTAAATTGCTAAAGGAAAGATGTGTATAAGATTGCTGTTATGAGTTGATTTCTTTTCATTTTCGAAAAGCTTGACTGTGTGTCAGTTTAATGTTGTGGATTTTTATGCCATAGTCCTACATTTATATTTATTCAGAGTGGTTATCGGTGTTGGATTGTGGCGTCTGTAAAGATCATCTTAACCCAAGAGATGTGATGTGATGATGATGATGCAAAACCCGAAAAATGAAATGCATTTACACCCACAGAAATAGAAAGTGCTGGAAGCAAAGCAAAGAATATTAACAATACAAATGTTTCATAAATAAATTCAGCTGTGCCCAAAGGTCACGCTTATGTAACAAAACACATTAATGCTTTCCAGGGAACATGTAAGTTATTTGAATATTTTAAAGTCAGCATGAAATGGCACTCGCAACCCATTTTACTGCCATGATGTGACACTTTTCAGGTTAAAAAAAAAAGGATATTTGAGGAGAATTGGCAAAAAAAACAAAGGCTTGGTGAATACATTTCAGTAGTAATAAAGTAAATCGTCAATTTTGGTTTCAGGTTGACTTTAAATGTTCTGATCCAGCATCCAAAAAAGTGGACTTTATAGAGTTCCTGTAATATTAAGCTGGCTGGCGCTTTTAGACAGGTGAAAAATGAAACGCTGATGAATATTTATCAGACACGCGTATAAACAGTGAGAAAGAGAGAGAAATGTTATAAAAAGCTAAAAACCATATTGGAATATGTGATAGAAGAAAATGAGGTGAGAAAGACGGGACAAATAGCTGATAAAATGAAGGAAAATGGAGAGAGAGCAGTGAATGATGGATGTATTCTTTTTTTGAACACTCATCAAATGGATGGAAGTGTGTGTGTGTGAGAGAGAGAGAAACATGCTTTAATGTGTTGTATGACCAGTGTTGGTTTTCAGACTGTTATAAGCACACATACTGTAGTCTGTGTGTGTATTTTTGCGGTATGTGAACGTGGGAAACACTGAACCTCGGTCTAAAAAAGTTGGGTTGTGTTCGGAGTGGAATACTAGCATACTGCATACTTTGCCGTTTATACTGTATACTGCCTAATATTTAAAAAAATAGAATGTGAAACGGTATGCATTTTGCAATTCTAAATGTTTCTAACAGTAGTATACAAGATGATCATGTGACATCGCTGATTAATTCAGCAAGTGGCATATATTTATCATGTTTAAAATAGTTATTTCAAAATGTAATCCAATTTTGAGAAAAAACAAAGTAAAATGAAATCTTGTAGCATTCAAATAAGACAAGCTAAATGTTAAAAGTTGATCATGTGGTTAATTTATTTTCACAACTGATATTTTAGTATTATATATATACTATTATAGTATTTATTAATATTTTGAAATAGCTTTTATTTTTATATTTTCAATTTTCATTTAAAAAAAAAAGTTATGGCTTTTGCCATTTTTCTGCTTTTTTATATTTCTGTTTTTATTTAAGTTTTAACTTTAGTCATCTTAGCACTTCAACTTGAGTTATTTTATATACTTTTCTCATTTTTATTATTATAATTTTTTATATTTATGTTTATATTTTAGTTTTGCCGTTTTCATTTTAATACTTGATCTTATTTTATTTGTTAGTTGCCAAGAAAACATTTTTAAAATAAAGTTTTTTTTATTTTTAAGTTTGTCTTTTTTATATAAATATTTTTATATATTTATTCAGTTTTATTTCAGTCGTTTTAGTAGTTCAACTGAGTTGCCAAAGCAATTTTAAATTTTTCATATATTATTTAAACATTTTTTATATCAACTTTATTTCAATTTACAAAAACAAATTTTTATAGTTTTAGTTAACAATTCAGTATGCAAGGTCGAGCGCATTGCATCGTGGGATACGTTTTTAAAAATAGAATAGTGTACTCTGTTGTATGCTGTAAATGTTACCAATAAATCATCCACGTATGCCATTTATACTAAACATTTGCATAATATACCAGTATGCATACTGCAAAACTAGTATGGGTAGTATGCCACTCCAAACATACCCTGGGTGAAGAAGTGTACTCAATCCACTTAAAACTGGGAACAAACCCATTTACCAAGGACCTCCCCCTTAATCCCGTTCACATTACGTCCCAGCCAATAGCTGCTCTCGAATCTCATGCTTAACATCAGTAGCTGGCCAATCAGCACAGATTGCGGTGTCGTGCGTTTATTTTCTCCATGATGTTGTAGGTGTAGGTTGCAAGTGTTGCTTTGAGCTCATCACTGCGTTCCAGTGAGATCCTCTGTGTCGCCGCCACAATTGTAGTCCTACTGAGAATTGTAGTTCATTTACAGATTTCAAAATGGTGCCAAAAGACGAGATGACACTCGTTGCAGTAAAAAAATTTTGTTTACAAAAAAGAAGTTAAAGCTGAAAATATAATATAATGCTAATAGTTTTCTCTTGATCAGATGATGATAAAAAAGATATGTAAATATTGATAGTTTCTATCAAATTCTTTATCATTTCATGATATAGGTACTGTACTTCTGAAATATTGGGACCCGAGGCAATTTTGTTTTTGTAGTTTTATTTTGTATTGTTTTGTGTTTGCTTTCATTTCTCAGCTGTATGAAATAAAGACCATACTGTGAGATGTGTGAGTGTGTGTCAGTGCCCACAGACAGTAACACTCTCCACCGATGGGGTGCAAAGCATGAAACTCCTCTTGAACAAAACTTTCTTCTATTTCAACAAATTATCAGGATGTGCTGCTTAACCTTCAGAGACTGTTGTTTGGTCACCTTAGGCTAATATTATGTACATGGATATATTTTCATTATTTCTTGCTTTATGTGTGGTTTGCCAATTTTTTATTTTTGAAAGATTAGTTTTTGCTAATTTTGTCTTTAGATAGGACAGTGTAAGGACTGGAAGTGAAGTGGGAAAGAGAGAGGGGTGGGATTGGGAAAGGTCCACAAGCCGGGATTCGAACTTGGGACGCCTGCAGCGCAACGGTGTTATATGTCGATGCGCTGCCCACAAGAATATCACTGCTGACAGTGGTTTGCAAATTTGAAAACCATATTATTAGTTTCTTATAAATTAAAGAATATGTATATATTTTTAATTCAAATATTTTGATTTTTTTACAAATTGGCCATGCAGTAGCAGCAGTCTAGAAATTAAAATTAATCATTAAATTTGATTTATATGTATTTTGTATACATCAGCATTGAAAACAGTTGTGCTGCTTAACATTTTTCCCCAGATTCTTTGAAGAATAGAAAGTTCAAGGAACAGCATTTATTTGAAATATAA